GGTGGGTCAGGCCCATCCCATAACCCAAAGAGTTGGAATATGTTGGAATGGTTCAAAAGGGATCTCTCTGGGGCGGCATCTATTCCAAGTCCCAAACAGGTCGTTTTTTCTGGGAGCCCAGTGGCCCTTTTCGGCCCACTCAAAAAATCGACGTGTGTCGACCTGCAAAGAGAACTACATGAGGTCGTCGACGCCGATCGACTTGGAACAGGAAGAAGTTGACCTGCAGGGATGAGGGTTCACGAAAAAGCGGAGCTGTGCAAGCTGTGGCCTTTGTTGGAAGAACGACATGTGTCAATAGATCCGGCAAACACAAAGGTGAAAAACAACTGCCAGAAATGCCAGTATCTGTGTGTGATTGTTCTTTCGTTTAGCAAAGCTCATTAGAGATGAAAGTTCTGCTAGAATGGAAAAACACCGCCTGGGTGTATCTGAGTCTATTTTCCTAAGCAAGACTCATGAGCGATAAACGCCCTCCTAAGCTACCCTAAAGGCAAACCAACTGATGTTTGGTTCATAGAATCCTTCAGGCTAGGACTTTATGAAATCTGGAGACATGTCCAGAAAGAAGACCTATGACTATGAAACTTCAGAATCTACATGAATCTATCTCCTTGACTCTCGCCTACAAGTACCCAACATGGTTCCAACATGGTCCAGTAACCCAAACCCTCAGAGTCCACTGGGCTCAGACGGTGCCTTGTGAATAGGAGCGCCATGGCGCCGGTCTGGCAACCGGTTCACCGCAAACACCGGGGGTACACCTGGGTGCCCTGAAAAGGGATCTACCAAAACAATCCCAAACACGACCTGGAACTGGGACTGGAATATATGTCCCCCCCAAACAGACCCCTCAAACCACCCCAATGTAGGCAAATATGGCATGTTTGGGAATTGGTTCTTAAAGCTAGTCTTCCAGTCTGGTCCATGTTCACGTTCCATGTTCATCTTCCCGGGTGTACTTGCCCCGCTGAAGAATGATAGTCAAGGAGCATGATTGAAGACCCAGCTGCAAATCACGACTCTTTCTCACTAAAGTTTCATTTCTCTCTAACAGGCCCCCAATGGAAGCTTGTGGAACAAATGGCTGGAATCTTGGAAGACCCAGCAAGTGGTTAGCACCTTAAGTGTTCTTTGAAAGGCTCAGAAGTGCTCTTGATTTACTCTACGAGCTACACAACCAGTCCGCACATCGAGCGCTTCGCGGATCGATCCGGCCGGTCGGCCGTGCGCACCGGCGGGTCTGAAGAGAACCGACGGCGAGGCGACGACCCAGGGTCTTGAGTCCAACCGTTCAAATTGGACTGCCGAGGGAAAAACCCAACGGTTTTGAAGACGAGACTTGCTCGTCTGCGCAAAGATCTGGACGCTACGCACCTGCCTTCCGGGCGGGGAAATGAACACAACTGTGTTCCACTTCCAGGTCGTCGATTAACGCACACCCTAAATGAGAGTGATAATAGTGAGCATAGAACTGGCGACTTCAATTCATCCATCTGCCGCCGCTGAACCACAATATGTTGCTCGGTCCGGGCTTGGCATTCTTCAACCTTCATCTGGTTCCACCAAGTACACGTCAGAGTCACAGCGCAATGTTTTGGAAGGACAAGCTTGGATCCTGGCAGACACAATTCTCAGACTGGTGGCGAAATCCAAAAAATAATACGACACATGATGACATCATGGTAACAATATATGATGACACGTGCATCAACAAGTTCTGTAAAATCCTGTTAGCTTCTTTCACTCCAATGAAGGTCTCGCTCGGGAAGAATGAAAAAGTGACTGGTGGAACGACCGGTCACTCCTAATGCCCCACAAAGAGTTCACCATCTCGCAGCTTTTGGGCCCCATTTTTTCACGTCTTCTTGGACCAACACATCAGATCATCGGACTCTGTCCATCTCCCCTTTTCGAGTCACGACCAGAGGTGAGCTCAACCAAATCGAAATCGCATGTCAAGAGACGGACTAAGAGCAGAACTGTTTTGTTTGGCACCTCTCACGTTTCTGCTTGGTGTCCAACTCACCTGAAAAAAATATGGATGTCAAGGGGGTTCAATCATCCCAAGAAAGGATTGAACATAGACATATCTGAAACCACCACCCAGGCTTGTTGCTTGTTTCTTTCTATGTTTTCCGCTCTTGGACCCGCTTGACACCCGCTTTCCATAAGACGTCGCGCAAACATCGGCGTCCTCACGGGACCAACGCCTGGGCAATGTACCTTTGACCTGAAGGTCAGAAGGGGCGAAATGGCACACAAAATGTCCGATGGACCCGGACTTTGATGGAGAATGGACCTCAAAAGCGTGGTTGTTTCCTGAATATGGCCCGAATCTTCATGAGAGCTTTTGTGTTTGAGAAGTGTTCGCCTTGCCAACTGTGAGTGTCCAAAGCGCACGATGGATTCAGGTTGCTCAAGCCTTCACTTGGTCTGCTCTTCCCCTTCACAAGTGCGGGTCTCCATCGCCACTCATGCTGATTTCTTCACATGTTCAAAGTGGATAGACATGACATTGGGAACCAACTCTAGCAGGGCTGCACATCTTCGTGACGAGGTGCTCTTCTGAACGTGGTTACGCACCCCTTGACCTATTGCAACACTAATACAGTACCTATTAGATCCCATGTGGTATGTAGGAGGACATGGGAGGAGTATATGATAGCTAAATATATGCTATGACAGTAACAGCAGCCTTGACATACTCCTTGACATATGATTATGCCAAAAAGGTCCACAATACACAGCGAATTCTCATCTATCTGACCTCAGTTTCTTTGGCATATCAGGGTCCAGCTCCAGAATCCTTTTTACATGAGAATCCGTTTAACAAGATCATTTAATGAATTTGATCTTGGTTAAGTGACGGATCGGGATAAGTTCTCGGAATCTTATGAACTGGCCACTCTTGATGCTCGGATAGAGGATGATGAGGATGAGCATACCCTAGGGATCCATTGCCACCTTCTCAGGCCTCCAAGAAGAAAAGTGTCCCCAACCACCTTCTCAGCGGCAATGTGGATCCATAGGGATAGAGTGCATAGAGCTAATTTACTGTAGAGGTTTCGGAACCTAATTGCAATGGCCTCCACTCTACTAGCGATGCCCTCCACCCCAATAGCAAGGGCCTCCATAGGGATAGAGTGCATAGAGCCTCTTGTGAGTTTCCGGGCTGCCGCAGCTTGCGCCACCGTGCACGGTCGTCCAAGATCCGGGATCCGCCTTGGAACGTGAGAACCAATGGCAGCGGTGAGAAGAGGCGTGTGACCATGATCAAACCTCCTTACAGTCATTTTTGGAACAAGTATAGTCTCCCTATTTAGTCAGTGTTTCTAAAACAGATCTGCACTTTTAGCAGTGGCATACATGGTCTCAATTGGAGAACACCCATCTTGAACGCTCTTTCTGGTTGGATATTTCAGGCATGACACTCCCCTGGAATGACCCAAAAGGAAATGGAACACCCCTCGCCCCATATTCGGAATGACTGAAACATACTGAATACCGATGTTTCTCCAACAAAACCGCTAGAACAACCTCACGTCCCACACCGGTCACTGTCACCGTTCGTTTTCGGAGTCGTTTTGAGTTCGTTTGTATCCTCACCTTCCGCACGGACCGCCGGTCTCGCGAGGCGGTCACGAACAGCAGCGGTCCACACCGAGTTCGGTTTGGAGTCCGTTTCGTTAACTGGGGCACGGGTCACAAACGATAAGCTCTTTGATATATAGATTTTAAATGTGTTTTGTTGTTTGTACAGTGTGTATATAATAATATGATATAATATGGCATGTAGTGCACGTACGCGATGCCATTGCACGTACGCTGACGCTGACACGACAACCGATTTCAACTGAACTCTGAAGCCGTGAGCTGCGCCTTTCTTCTTCCATGGCCATTTGCATTCATCAAAAGCTCTCGGCACTCAGTTTAGCCGCGCTCGGTGTCACACCTTGCCATTCTCCACTGTATGATATGACACAAAAACACTGTTGGATGCGATCTTCTGCGAAGAAGTGCCGGACATTCTCTACCCGGAGTGAGTGCATGGATGCTGGTGATGTCCCCTCCTAAACTTGCTGGACACAATTTATACAAATCTATATATAATCCAGTATCATGGAATATCATGCAAAGATCACATCCGCCAGCTTAGTCAACCCTTTCGTCTCAGACTTTTTCACAGACTTCGTCCTTTGTCATCTTCATGGCATCTACCATCTACTCGACTCACAACATCCAAATCCTATTAGTAACAAGTGCTTTACTAGTAGTAACAAGTGCCTTACTAGAAGTAACAAGTGCCTTACTAGTAGTAACAAGGCTCGCTACTTAGGACTCGCCTCCTTTTTTCGACCTCTTGAGCCTCCCTTGCGGCCGGGGGGAGAGACCGGTCAGAGCGAACCGGTCAGACCGAACCGGAACGCCGTGTCTCCTGCTGGGTGCGTTCCGGTTGAAGAATCACATCAGGAGTGAGTTGGTGTAGAAAACACGAGGCCGAAGCCAAGCAGTTTGTGTACCATGTACATGGATCTTGACGCTCCAATCTTGAGCTCTTCTTAAAAGAAAGTAAGTCAAGGTCAGGTAACATCAAGCATGAAAGAATATGAAAGAGCTGGACAAATGCAAACATACACCTCCAATTTGATGTGAAATAATCCTCTAGAGCTACTACTGACTGTCAGAGCATCACAGGTGCGATAAACTGCAAACCATATGACGGCTAACGCACGGCACGAGGCGTCTTAGACACGTCCAGGATCCTGCTGAGTGTCTGCAGCTTGGGAAGATCTTTATGAATCAGAAGTGGATCTATCATCTATGTTCTTGCGAAACAGAAACTAATGAACACAAACACAGGAATGTCCTCACCAAACAAAGCATGAAACCGTTTCAGATACTCCGAAGATGTTCTGAGCACAAACGAGCTTCAGTTTCAGCTTGTAACTCCTCGGTTGACAAAACATCCGACCCCCAAATCGGCCATCCCTTTTTGGGGCGCATGCTTTGTGCTTTCGGTCCAGGGCTTCAACCAATGCGTTCCAACGCTGGGCGTCTTCGTCTCGTGCGTTCCGCCACACCTGAGAGTGTCAGGCAGTTAGTTCAGCGTTCAGCGTTCAGGCAGGCAAGTAGAAGGAAAAAAACACATCTGTTTGAGGCGAATGCCTTTTCGATCCTTTTTTGTTGTCAACTCATGGCGCTTGAAAAGAAACTATGACTATGAAATGATATGAATGATGTATGCATTTACGACATCTTCTTGCAACTTACCCTGTGTTCTACAGTTCTACCTGCTACGATGTGTTTGGATTAGTTAAAGAATCCAATCCTGCCAGCCCCTGCCAGCCCATAGCGATGGCCATAGCGATGGCCATCCGGCTTCACCACCAATCCAACGACCGCGCGATCCGGACCGATCCGGACGCCTCGAAGCGAAGCGGAATTGACTGGGACGCCCAACGGTGCACGTGCTGCTGCTGGAATTGTCTCCCGAGCGCCCAGAAGAAATGTCGTCCAAGCTCCAAATCCTTTCGAAGCGGCGACCACCACGGCGAAGCGGGCTCCGAACGGCGAAGCGGTTGATGATGGATGGATTCTCCAGTGAGGGGATGAACAAATTGATATCCATCTTCTCGGAACAGTCTAGTCTAGGTGTGTTGAATCTATCTGTATATATATATATATGTTTTATATTATGTGTATATATATATATCAACATTATATGTCTGTATCTATGTGTGTGTGTGTTGCCTACGTAGGTGCCCAAAACAACTCCAACTAATCAGTCAATGGCAGTCAAGAAAGGAACGAAAAAGAAAGGGGAACAGACGGGAGCATGATAAGGAATGATTCAATGAGGAATGGCTTCTGCACGTTCATCCGGCAAAGCGTCAAAGGGTTGATATGACCTGTGAGTACAAAAGACGCCGCCTGCAAAGCAAAAGCAAAAAACAAATGTTGGAACAGGGAACCCCTCATCTTTAACAATGCCCCATGCACAGGAGAACGGGATACAAGCGCTTGTAGCTGCAGCGGGGCTAGCACTCATCATCTTCTGATTGAACCATTACATATCTCCCTAGGGATCCAAGTACCTTCTCAGAAGGTACTTGGACCCTCCAAACCTACATAACAGTGTCTCCAATCACCTTCTGAGAAGGTACTTGGATCCCTAGGGTCTACAAATCTGCAAGTGTGATTCAGGCCTCAAAGGCATCTTGAGAGCTGCGCACCCCCCCCCACCTAAAAAAGAAGGTCGCGACCGACCTCGGAGCAGCCTCTGCTGTCCTTTTCCGTGGTCTCATCCGGGGTGTTTTTCAATGTTTTTCACACACCGACTGTTCGAATTGAATGGTTGAGCTATGTTGAGCTAGTTTTAGTAGTGTAAAAATGCTTAGCAAAGCAATGGTTCTTCCTTCAAAGGTTCTGGGTTTTCCATGGTGTCCTCCAGTCCCATAGGGACCCTGCATTAGTAGTAGATACCATGTCCCCCCAGGGGCTCTTCACCGGCCTCCTCGCCCAACCTCGCGTGGTTGTAGGTGTGCGTGAGGTCCATCACATCGGACCTGGCCGAGACGACGTGGCAACAACTGAAGGAGGCCGTCCCAGACTTGAAGTTCAGATGAAGCATGTTAATACAGAACATATATGATTTTGAAAAGAACACACACAACTCAACAACAACTGAACTCTGTCTTCTTGGTCTACCCAAAAGACATAAACACACACCATCCCGCTTTGGGGTTTCCGGTGCCGGCCCCGCCCTCGCCGCTTTCCGCTCGAGCGAGCGGCTTGGTGAGCTGGTCCATGTTCTCGCAGAAGAACTCCACGAAGATCTCCAGGTAGGCCCTGACGACCGATGGCTGTCGATGAGCACACGGATGGTCTCGAAGTCGTTTTTTTGGTCGACCAAGGGCAACGGGTCCGGATCTTCCGGAGAAGGGGTGAGGCAGCTTGTGATGGAATTGTATGGGAGAATTGTTGAGAGGCAGCTTGTGTTGATCATGGGTGATCTAACATGTGTTCTAATTAATATTGGACAAATGCCAGCTGAGAGATGCTGAGAGACAGCCTCAGCCAGCCTCTGTGTTTTCAGAACTTGCTCCTCAAAAGTGCTGGGAGTCTCGGAGTTTGGTCAGGATTCCACATGAACGCAATCAGTTGTGCAGGTTTGGGTCACACGACCAAAGACCTCAGTGCATCCATGGTGGACTTTCAATCTTCGAAGCGGACCGGGCTTCCCGGCTTGTCGAAGCTTCGAATCTGCACCAAGTAGCGATTGATGCGAACGATGTTGTGCAGACCTCATTTTGTTAGGGAATCCACTGGCGCCGTCTCAGGTTCGGTAAGACATATATATATATATATGTATTATAACCAAAAACAGTATATATATATAATATGACATAATATGCTTGAGCCCTCCTGGCTACCAAAGTGTCCCCAATCACCTTCGCGGGTTTTGGAGCCGTGGATGACCAATGGGGGCAAAGAGGTATGGATTGGGTTTTTGTGACCAGGGCCCGGTTTCGATGATGGTATATGACCAGGGCCGGCATATACTATATTGTCTAACTAAGAGTGATCAAACACCTGTGACCGACGGCTCCAAACCCGGTCTACTGGGAGATACGGCTGTCGGATACGGTATGGATGATCCGATGGACATCGCATAGGCATGGCCTGACATGGCCTGTGGCTCGTTCATGGATGTTCATTGGAGTCTTCTGTGGCTCGGGTGATGTGTGTGTTGCACAATAAGTGTGTCATCCTGATATGATTCGTAGCACCAGCCTTGGGATTCCTTGGGCGTTGTTCAAGTAAATCAATGCCACACCCATATCTTCTGCCAAGTGTCAAAACATGTCCAAACTGTCCTTACGGTTGCGCCTCTGAACAAATGGTGGTCCCGTATTGAGAGAAGAGTCAGATCGACTCCAGTTCGGAGAAGCAATGGTATTGACATGTGGCTATGCGTCAAAACCAGGATACCTTGGTTGACCTAGCTGGGTGGTCGTTCCCTACATGGTGGACTGGTCGGGCTCCAGGTGAACAACTCAATGTATATATTGACTAGGTCTGCTGAAAAACAACAACTAGTAACTAGTAACTCTAAAAAACAACAACTAGCAACTAGACCACCTTCCCATGAACATATGGAAACAACTCACAGTGAGTCCACCTCATTCCAAAAGGGTTCACTCGCCAAAACCAAGTTCACCAGGTCCGTTCCATTTGCGAGGTTCCCCCCGAAGAGATTGATCGGAAGCAAGGTAACTGTGGAATCATGGCGATCTATGGTGAAATCCATGGTGAGCGACGTGCAACACACTCTTACTTACTTGTATAGTTTTCACTTATAGTGATGCTGCCTGCATCGGAGGTTTTGGCAGTTGCTCATGTGAAACTCCAGGATTTTCTTCGCCAAAGCACTGAGCTTCCAATAGTTGTTGCACATCCAATCTCTGAGCCATTCGGTCTCCAGAAACTCCTGGCACGTCCCACGGCGTGACCCTCCTCCGAAACGCCCGCCGTGCACCCGGGTGGCGTGTCCAACCACGTCCGTTTCGTTCGAAACGGAGAGGTGCTTGTCCCCGACACATCGATCCAGGGCCTTTTTGAGCTTTAGCCCAATGTGGGTCGATTGTATCACATGACGAGAAACGGCTACACCTCATGCTTTCCATGGACAAGCCCCACATGTTGCAGGGGTTGAACCAAGTTTTTTCCCCAAAACCACGGAATCATTGAGACAAAGGTGCTGCAAGGCCACGCGTCTAAAGAAGATCGATATACTTACAAGACCCAACGATTTAACCCCGGTACCCGGTATGTAGGAATGTCTGGGGCCAGGGAACCCAAAGGGGAGTGATGGCGAGCCTGCCCTGACAGATGTCCCGTCCTTGCGCTTGGACGGACCCATCATGGTGATGCCAAAGATGAAGCGCTCCAGGTGCTCCTTGCGCGGTGGCGGTGGCCCCCCTGACCATCATCGCCTCATTGCTTCCTTCCCTCTTTCCTTCCTTCCTTCCTTCCTGCATTCATTCATTCAGTCAGTCAGTCGTTAATCATTCATTCATGCATTCATTCATCTCATCCATTCATCTCATTCCTTCCTTCCTTCCTTTCTTCCTTCCTTCCTTCCTTCCTTCCCTCTTTCCTTCCTTCCTTCCTTCCTTCCTTCCCTCTTTCCTTCCTTCCTGCCTTCCTTCCTTCCTTCCTTCCTTAATTGATTCATTCATTCATGTCGTGCTCCTTATTATCCTCCATCGAATCGAAGTGCACTTGGCGCGCGTGTACCACCGAGCCATTTGGCACGCGTGCACACACCTTGCTCGGCAGCGCCCCTCCCATTCGGGGACGCGGTTTGGGATCCGAATTGGCTTGACATAACGCCCGCTCTGAGTGGAGCAGGATGACAACTTTCCTGCATCTGAAACTTGAATCGGCGTGCTTCAAGGGCGTGCTTCAATTGGACCAAACATACCAAATGGATCCGCATGGTAGTACTCATACCAGCAGGGGTCTACCTACTCACCCAAACAAAACGGAATTCAGACTGGGTGACTGTACAGCAGAAAGGTCCTTGGGCCGCAGCAAGTCTGCCTCCCCGCTTGTCTCCTGTGGAGCTGAAGGAAAGGCTTCTGCTGGCATTCTCCCGTCCGGATCACCGTTATCCTTCCTGACAGGTGGCGACCGTGAGCACGGCACGGCTTCACGGTGGCGAAACGGGCCGAAGCCAGTCTCGGTCAGAGTTCTGGGGCTTTCAGCCGACCCTTTTGGGGTGGGCTGCTCAACTTATCCATGACAGTCCGCTCTTAAACATCTATAGGAGCTTTCAGGTGTTCAGTTCCTATTTCACCAACAAGCCTTTCCACCGTGATTGGCCAAAATAAATACATAACCCCAGACGCTCCAAACAGCCCTTGGTCCCTCAAAACATAGGGATTTGAGACCCCAGACCCCTCCATATGAGGGTCCGACCCTTCCATATGAGAGCCCATGAGCGTCTGGGAATACAATTAAAAACCAAACTATATCTACTTGGCCATGTTCGCCAATCTGGTCTGGTGCCCTCCAAGGCACTCCAACAATGTCATCATTCGAGCCTGGGCGTCGCGCTCAGGCACAGCCAGGCGAGCTTTGTTATGGGGGTTGTTCAAAATACCGTTTCCCGAAAACTATCCTTGCGCCGGCCTTGGGCGAATCTTGCGCGGATCTTGCACGAACACAGTAAAACTACATGTTCTATTCAAATAAGTGTTTTGCTTACCTGTTTTTGTGGGTGTGTATGTGTATGTAAACCGCTGTCACAGGCGGAGAGCTTAATTACAAACCACAGGGCAGGGGGCTAGCGACCGATTTCTCGACCTTCCCAGTCTCCCAGTGCGTGTTTGTTGCTGCACTGCAGCTTCCTTTCTGTTTTTACACTTTGCCGAAACAGCTGGCTCAAAGAAGTCGACATGGCCAGTCCAGTTCTACATACATTCGGGCTTGCGCGGATCTTGCGCGAACCTTGCGCAGATTTCGAGCTTCTTTTTTTCCACATTCCGAAGCATATGGCTAAATCATTATGAAGCATACTTGAAGCCTGAAAGCGTTAAGACCTCACAAATCTCGGTTTCACTCCACAAAGCACAAGGTAACAACAACAGTTTTTGTAGAAATTCGGGTAACTAGTAGTCCATGCGCAAAACCTTGCGCCCGCCTTGCGCGAACCTTGCGCGATGCAGGTTTTGGACTACCTACTATCAATAAAAAGAATCCTGCTACTAAATTCTGTTCTGTGGGTTTTAGAACGACTCCCATATACATGCGCCCTGAGGGGCCCTGGTTCCCAGACCCACCAGGACCTGAAAACCACTTCCTCGGTCTTCCAAACGGGTCCAGTTGCATGTGGGTCCCCGAACCGCGGAAGTGGATCGGCCAAGTGCCACCAGGAACTCGCAGGTGTGTGTGCTAGAGTAACTCGCAGGGAACTGGGGGACCAGTGCACCCGGCACCCGGAACCTGGCAGATTTGATGGCTAGCCCAAGCAGAAAACTGGGGGACCAGTTCTGGTGGTCGACACTCCCAGGCATGGTGGCCCCAGAGTGGGAGGTGAAGCTTGCATGGCTCGGTTGATCCAGTCCCATCATCTTGACAAATGTCCTGTAGAATGCACGGAATCCATGGTGATCGATACACAGATCGAGCATCTTTTTGGGACCAGGACACCATCATCTTCTGGCAAAGCGTCTCAGAGCCGCGCTTGGCGCGGCCCAAAGCATAGGCCCCCGCTGCAAGAGGCCTCTGAGGGGCAAATTGAACAGCAAGGGCTTTCCACTGAAGAGGATTCTCAATCCTCAATCATTTCTTCCAGGAAAGATTGCGGGAAGATTGGAGTGGCCTCTTTTTTCCCTCCAGCGACACCATGTGGAAGGAACCATCCTTTTGTATAAGAATCAACATGAAGGAACCTGTAACATCTTACTTGGAACAGGCTTGGCATCCGACCATTCACAGGTCCGAAGAAGTTATTAGCCCCAAATTGAATGGTTCATGTGATTTCTTTGGATGACAGGACATTCCAAAGATCAAAGAGTCAGACATAGAAGAACACAGAATTCATCGACTGACATAGAGAAAAAAACAGATCTGTCTCTTTAGTTGAGCAATCAAACATCGCTCCAAAAGGGCCCCGAACGTCGCCTCTGCCGCCTCTGCCGGTTGCGTAACCCGCGTAACCCGGCCCGCCAGCGCCTGGCTGCCATGGTCTCCAGGTCGGTGCTGGTCTCCAAGCGGCGCATGAAGATGTCCAGGAGCTCTTGAAACCGCTCGCCCCAATTGAACCTAGGACAGCACAGCCCCATGTCATGATGCCATGGCTAAAACTTATACCATGAGGGCTTTCTGTGGTAGACTGTTGATCCATAACCATAGCCAATTGGATTGTAAGACCTCTTCATGCGGGGGATTGTTCATCAACAGAACTACTGAACTACATGATGTGTGCAACCATGCCAAGTCTCTTCAGCTGGAGACACGGCTTCGGTCCCCCGGGAACACTTGCAATTATGTGGTTCAGAAGCACCAAAAGCAAGAACTCCCAAGTGAAACAGCTCAGTTCAATCTGTCCCACGTATCATCAAGATCATCAAGATGTATCTCCACACATTTTATGAGTAGCTGAGTGGATAGACTAACCTGGCAAAACATACCCTAATTAGTGCCTAGGGATCCACATCAAAGCGTCTCCCCGCCCGTCCAAACCCTGGCATTCGATCAGAGTGGATCCAGAATAGACTGATGGTCCCCATGCGCCCCATGCCATCCTGCTCTTCCCCAGCTCTGGGTCACCGAGGACGAAACGATGCAACCGTTCGATCGTCTGACAACGCAAAGGTTTTGGACCGACTTTGGGTCAGAAAAAACACGTTGGAGAAAGAAAAAGGCCCACGGTGCAAAGGTTTTGTCCAGAACCTTTGTCAACCAAAACCTCCGACTGAGCTTGTTGGCAGGTGGCAGCAATCCCTCAAGCTTGGGTTTGTCAGAGGACCAATTGGCTCAGCAAATGCAAATTCCTTGCTCAGATTCAATGGTATGTTGTGCCTTTCCTACGCCCAGCAACAATCGGTGATAAAGCCAATGTGTGATGATTTGGACTGACCTATTTAATAGACCTATTGATAAACAATATATTAAATCATTCCCAAGCAGCAATCCCTTACCCGCAGCATTCTCCCTTAAACCCAATCAGTACAGTCTACTATCCAGACTGTTCTGATTTCTGAGAATAGAGTAAACCACTAAGCCTGACGAATCCACCGCCCCATCCCAAGGACCAAATATCCGCCAACGTTTCAAGTGTCCTCTTTGAACAATCACCAAGCGTTGATGATGACCTTCCTGTGCTTTCCATGTGACCTCATGCTCATACCTCATACCTCAAGAGATCACCGTCTATTCTGCTTTGGCTTGGCTCTCGCGACGTCTCCGTGATTCAAGGCTCAGGGACCACGGGTTGTTCCCACGGTACAAGCGCAAGACGAGCATCGCATCCAAGACCAAGGCCATCTGGGCCGAGTGAAGGGCGACGAGTTCGGCGAGTGATCTACAGAAAGTCAGGGGATGGGTCAACACCTCTTCAGGTCATCCCACCAGTTGACCCACAGCCATGATGACATGAAGACTCATGAAGACTCCACTAAACCAGTTGAGCCCTTCTTTTCGAAAGGGCACCGCGTGACCTAATCCAGCGCACCATGTCTGAGTCCTTCATGGGCGTTGGCGCCATTGGTATGTGTGGCTTCTTGGTAAGGATTCTCGCTTAGCATGTTGCTTGTTGATCTTGGTGTTCACTCTGTAGTTGACGGCCGGCCATTCACACCTTCCATTCCCTTCCCGTAAGTGGCCGAACTTCCTTCTACTTCCAGTTTCTCCAGAGACCCAGGTGTCCACCGGACGCAACTTATTGAACAACCGCAAAGCAAAGCTCCAGGTGGCCCACCTGCGGCGTCTGGGGGGCCGCCAGTTTTGATCAGGTGGCCCGGTTTACCAAGCTGCACTTTTTGACCCGGAAATCATCCAAATCAGATCAAACAGTGGCTCCATCCCGTGTGATCCGCCATCGTAAATGAAATCCCCCGCCCAGTTCCCCCACCAGGAATTCTCAGTGACCCACATGCCTAAGACTCACGACCCCCCCCAAAAAGAACAACCATGTGGATCAGATGCGCTACGCGGGCGAGCGGAAGGGGATATCACCACCTGCCATGTTTGCCGATCAGTTGAGGTGGTTTGGGGGGGCTCGTTCTGGGGCGGCATATGCTCCGGTCCCAAACAGGTCGTGTCTAGGTGACCTTCTCTCCGCCCCCCGTGGAATCGATCTGTGCCCACGTCCGATCTGTTCCAGGTCTGACCGCCTCGGCCGAGCCAAATCTCAAATCTTCCTGCGAAGCCGAAAACTGCCCGGAAGCGAGGTTTCCCGTTGCCGCCCTCGCCGCTTGGGTTTCGCGCGTCCGGGGGATCTTTGGCAAGAATGATCAAGATGTGGCCAATGAATAGGAGGGTGCATCTGGAAATTGAGTCTCATCTCAGCTGAAATCAATGATTTTATGACGACATATATTTTTTGACAAGTTATGATGGATGATCAGTGGACCGGACCCCGCAATCTCCATGTCTTCTCGCTAAGAACCTCCCCATGATTCCCCCATGATTCCCCCACCTGTCGAGGGTCTTCTTTTCGCACAGCATGAAGCAGAAACGGATCAAAAAATGGATCTACCCAGACGCTCATGGGCTGTTTGGAGGGACCAAGGGCTGTTGGAGCGACCAAGGGCTGTTTGGAGCGTCTGGGTATTGGATCAAAAAATGGATCTATTGGATCCTGTCCACTCCACAACACCCAGAACTTCCCCGTTGAACGCGCCGTTGAGAAGGCCATCCGACCGGTGACCGGGCTTCTTCCGAAACAGACCAACCGGTGGACCTACACCCCAATCACCACGCGGCATGCAAGGAACAAACCCATTGAGAAATCCATTGGAAGTTAAGCGACAATGTGCTACATCCACTTAGCAGTTCTTTCTTTCACAAAGACCACAATGTTTGTCACATACAAGCAGCGAAATCGCTCCTGCGTTCCGGGCGCCGTCAAACCAAGCACTCGGTTTTGTTGAACCTCTTCTTGCTCTTCGAAGATAGCCAGCACCACCTGAGACAGAAAAAAATGGTGGACAACACCAAGGAATGTGGGATGGATGTCTACCTCACGCGCGTGCAGCTCGCACGAGCAGAAAAAGACGACGAACATGAAGATCTGAATGGGCCACTGAACGGACCGAACGTGAAAAACACACATTAAAAAGCCTCCCCAAATGTCTGCGATGTTGACTTCACCCTCCTAGGGCGAGGGAGACTTTTTACTTTTGTCGCACTAGCACCAACGGGTGATCTTGAAGACCGAGAAGGGGAAACAAAACAACAACATGATCTCTGTATAATGAACCTGCAAGCATAGCAGCTTTGATTTGCTTTGAAAGCGTTTCTTTTTGGGTTAACACAAAGCCACGTTCAATTGCTCCGATGATGGATGATCACAACTACAAGTTCGAGGTGTTAGCATAACCAATCACGCACCACAACTCCTTGCAAAGGATGAATAAACATGTAAACACGTTGTCGTCATCATCATCAGTGGCAGCAGCGATGCAGTATCATTAACATCCTGGAAATCACAGCAAACATTCATCAGAATAAAACTCTGCAGACTTTCCGATTTATACTTTATACCACACATTTTGACAAGCAATTCATTTGTTCGGTCCATTCTAATGTGAATGTCGCAACCTTACGCACACCAGGGAGACCGTCTAGCATTGGCTTTCCAACAATCCCCATGTCCAAAGCGTCTCCAGCCGTCTATATACCCCCAGGCATCCACGTGTCCTGGCCTGTCGAAAGACTGTGTGGTGTTGGAAGTTCAACATGGAATATGCGCTACACAACTTCGCCACATCAATGGGCGGCAGCTCCATCAAGCCCGGATGAAGCCTGACAATGTGGACCGCGTGATTGGAAGGCTTTAGGGGCCTAAGGCCCGTCATCACTAAACTGGTCAAAGGAACCGGCCCATTTCTCTTTAAACCGAGCATCGATCCAAGCACTGACAGCACTGACAGCACTGTCATCGATCCAAGACTTTAACACTACTGGGTCACCTGGCTGGACATCTCCACACGTCAACAGGAGTGTAAACAGGTCTGCGATGTCTCCAGGGCACCCCGTTCAAGGAAGCACTGGGCGCTAGGTGCGCGGTAGGTATGTATTTGATATTGGGTGTGTATCATTCTGTATTTGAATGCCCCCCTTTTCCGCCCCTGGCCGGGTAGACTGGTCGATGTTCGATACCCCTTATAGCCCTATAGATGCCTATAGCGTATATATTTTTATTGTTCTCCAAGTTGACATACCACTCGGACCTGTAGTCAATCTTCCGAGACGTCATGCGCCAGCTGGCCAAGTATACGCATTCTGCTCGGCTCGCGCCTGGCTCGCCCAAACTTTCTCAAGACCTTCTCGTTGTTCTGCGCAGAGAACCGGGCCATGCTATCCTTAGTTTGGGAATGTTTGGGAGACGTTTATGAGATTTTCTCACAAAACCCCACCCAAGCGGCTTTGGAATTGCTTGGATGGGGGAACTTCCACATTTCACTGTTGGGTCACAGCGCATGCTCCGCCATTGCAAGAAGTGATGTCCAACAAACGGGTTAGGCAAATGCTAAAAGTCTTAAAGGCCACATTACCATCAACAAATGCATTTCTATTTGGAGGTATTTCGGCATTTCCTCTAAACAGGCCCCTTGACTGGTTTCCCTACATGATAGCTGCTAGCTCCACACAATTGCAGGTCACCATGCAGAAAACCAGCCAACCTCCTCATGTTGACTCAAAACCAGCTGCTAAGCAACTGGACGCCCTGAGTCAAATTGACGCCCACTCTGTGCTCCGGTTTTTCAGGCGCTGTTCAGCCGTCCCAATTCACTCAGGTCAACTCATTTGGGTGTGAAACGAGTGCAGGAGATCCCATCTTGGTATCTATAGGGCCTTTAGATGCCTTTAGGGTCATCGAGTTGCCAGACTTGACATGGCTTTCATCGGTCTCTGGCCCTCTCGCCTCGGTCGTCGGTCTCCCTGGGTCGGGTTCCGGAAAGCATCGGAGACCGGAGCCATGGCGGGGCCATCTGAAGCTAAGTAGCAATGATGGAAAGCATCTGCTGCGTACTGAAATCGTTCCACTCAGTCTCGGGATCCTCTTCCTGGCAAGGCGGCTCTTCCTCAAGCTTCATTCTTTCTGGCTTGAAAGGTACGAATATCTAATGCAAAGTATCTTAATTGCTCAAATGATCGATCTTCATGCTCATGCTTCTTTGAAGGAAGGCAAGGATATGATCGACAGCAAGGATACGCGTGCCCTCTCTGCCCGTAACTTGCTTGTGTGTGAGGTGGTACACACGAAGTATATGACGCCGCCGCGCAGAAGGGATATGATACACAACTCCTGTGAAGAGTTTTTGAGAGATACTGTACCAATTCTGTGGGCTGTTTTTGAGAGAGTCTCGTATTTCGCGTATGAATGCATCTTCTGTTGGTTTCAACTACACTGAGGCACATGAGGCACATGAGGCGACCCACAAAATGAACACGTGAGACATTGTAGATGCTGAGGAAGCCGCCACATATTTTTCAACACTAGAGGGGCCATCGGGCCATAACTCATGTCAACTCACATCGATCCTCACGTTTTGCACCCAAGACGGTTTAAATACGAGCTTGTTCTTGTTGTGCAGTGTTTTGCTTGTGCCTGTTGCCAAGGTACTGTGAGGGTGCACAAAAAACCAAGAACCACCACGCAAAGCAGTTCTGTCAGCGCGCCATCAGGGGAAAAACTCCTGCGACCTGACAGAACTCACGGGTCCCTCTCTCCTCAAGCCGCTGGCGCGCTTCATTGAAGGCTTTGGTCGCCAGGCCACTGAGCTGCACGGATGCAGCACCTGGCTGCAAGGATGCTGCAAACATGAACCAGGGTCGCACCACTGCTCCTTACCTAAAGGAACAACTCAGCGACAGGGCCAGGCCAGCATGTCAGGGCCATTCGTCTTTTTCTCGTCTTCACACTACATCTCACGTCTCCGTGGAATTTTGTCCAACAGATATTATTTGGATCCAACTACCCCCAAGTTTTCATAAGTTTTCCAGCAATAACATCGTTCAGTTCAGAGTTGTGGAAATTGATCTATGGATCCATTATTAATGGACTGCTTCTACGTAGCTGATTCTGCCGATGAGTTCAAAGTCACCAACAAATACAAGAACCTCCTGAGAAGGTGAAGGAAGGAACATGGTAGGGTGACACGGATGGCGGAAGGATCAACATTTCACCCACGGGTCTTGAAAGTGTCCAAAACAACACTGGGACAAAAGGCGAATTGGAACATACTGGATCCCAGTGGTTGCAGAGTCCGAGTCGTAACCTTCAGCTCCAAGACCCGGTCTTCCCCAGAAGTCCCAGCACCTCTGGACCGGGCCCCTGTTCCCCAAAAGCAACTGTTTCTCCTTCCTCTGAAGCGCAAGCGACTGGTACTCATCCATTACCAGGAACAAGACAAAACAGCCCAAAACGTGACCCCCTGGTCTTGGATTTGCTGGTGAAAGGAAGCCCCCAAACATGACCCTTGGACCCTCTTATCCAGGGATCGGACGCCCAATGCAGGGATCGGGGGTCTTTGGTCTCAAATCCCGCACCGGTGCCTTTATAGGGACCTCTTGGGCTGCGTCTGGAGCAACAGCGGAACATCATCACCGGATCGAAAACCCCATCTTCCCCAGCCTGCTTGGCTGAAAATCCTCAGCAAGTGCACCAACTGCTCGGGCTCCATACCTCGAATGGTGTGACCAGGAACTGCACTTCTCAACCCAGGAGTCGCATGTCGGGGAGCCGAACTTGGAGGTAGTCGGGGTGCCGGGGTGCCCATATGTGTTGCCCAGCTACTCCACTCACTTGGGGACCAAACACCACTCCTTTGTGAGGACCATGCATGTTAAACATTGCAGATTCAATTCCCAGGACGGCACCCACCAGGACCATCCGTTCGCCCGGGTGGTTAGACTTGGAGGCCACCCCCCAAGATGTTCACCTCAGACAGAGGCTACTTTTTGACCGCCTACTAGGGGAAGGTGGCAATTGCGGCTTTGGACAGGACAGTGCGCACAAGACACACCACCGATTCGCCCTCGGAGGTTGCCTGCTTTTCATGCGCCAAGCGGTCGTGTCCACTGAACCATCTCGGTTGGCCAAACCGTTCTTGGGCCGAACCCTTCGGGTCTCAACAGGGTCTCAGCGGGTCTCAGCCGGTCTCGGTCGTCGGTGTTCGGTTCGTTTGGTACGAAAGGTGTGGGGCGAAGGTTCCGAGACGCCCTGGTTCCGAGACCCAGGAACCAAACCACTGGGTTAGAGGAAACGGATGAAAACGGTCAAACATGGTCAAACGGTGTATTTTCAGGTTCCATGATGTTCCATGTGGGTCGTTTGGATGTTAACGGGCGTATCAGTCATCAACCGCCCAAACCACCCCTGGCCGTTTCTCGGCAGTCCGATGAGAGTTCCAAACGGAAGTGACCACTGGACAGGACCCATGGTGGGTCTTCCCATCGATCAGTGCCGTTTGAGCACCTGTAGTTGGACCAGTCAATGGATTCACTTTTGGACCAGGACCTTCCCGCAGTTGGTATAAATAGCCTCTGTCTTTTCGGTGATTTTTGGAGGGTGTTCCAGTGTCCCGAGTCGAACCGCCGCCGGTGGGTGGTCTGCCGGCTTGTTCTGCCGAATTCACACCCAACGTTCTTATCTTAATTGAACTCTTCAGCTCGAGCTGAGCGACTGCTTCATAGCTTATCTTGGTTAAGCTCTGAATTAGAATTTCTTAGCGGATCATTCCTGCACCGATGGCTCTACAGTGACCTCTTCAGTGCCCGGTTCGTCCGGTTCGACCCCACGATGCAATTCAGGCACAATGAATCTCTCCGTATCTCATCTCGCGCATCGGATGAAAATTTGGAGGTCCACCTGCAGATCCACGCGGATCGGATGAAAACCACAGCTTTGTTTTGCACGCAAATCACCGTTGACTTCGACAGTGTCCAACGGCTTGCTGAGAAATCCTTGAATCTTCACAAATCTTCAGGGCAAAACCTTGAATCTTGAATCCTTGAAACCTTGTGAATCCTTCTTCTCTTCACTTCACAAATCCTTGTCCAACGGTTTGCTGATGCATGGTTTCTTCAGTTTCGCCCAGTCACTGTCGACCACATTCTCGAAGACCGCCTGCGCCGGACGTCCGACATCGTCCGACTCTTCGAACGCTCTTTCTTCTCGACCGGGCGCTGCCAGGAGACCCCGGACCGGACCGAAAGTGACACACCTTCTATAAGGACTCCTTTCTATATATATATATAGGCCCACTTGGCTCGTGTTCACGAACGTGTATGGGCTTGCAAGTGGTGGGTTGTTCATGGTCACATGGACAGGATACACGATGATCCATCCCAAGCGTTGCAGGGGACAAAGAACATATCAATGTGCTGCCTTTTGAAGGCCCATTCTTGGGGACGCATATCCTTATTATGGATTGATTGATCACATGATATCTAATATCATCTAATTGTCATAATATACATCATCGTACAAGCTTCTGAAGCAGCTCCTGATGCGTCTGAGACAGAGCTTACATCCTTATGCATGTGGCGCCGGCGCCACTCCGGTCCTCACATGGAACATCATGGAACATCATGTAACAGTTACGCTACATGATGGCCCTGGGCTCGAACTGGGACCAGGCCGTGTTTTTTTTCACCGGTGGCGAGTGGTGGCGGAGTCAGGTTGAGCTCTTCGCGCCGCGAGCTCTTCGCGCCGCTCTCCCCGAAACCATCACTTCGACCCCCCCGGAGGGGAAGGTGATGGGAAGGTAACTCAAAACGACTGATGCGACACCGGGAAGTCCCTCGTCTGGAAGAGGCGGTTCATAGAGCCTACCACGCCTGGAAGACCTCTTTGTGCCAAGCGCTAATCGTCGCATAGAGCCGAGCCAGCTCCAGGCTACCCTGGAGCAAACAAGACACTGAGTGCACATCTTTTTTGATCCAGGTTCGCGTCAAACATGTTGAAAAGGGATGTCTGCATATTAAGCACCATGGCGACACTAAGCCAGACCTAGAAAACCATACAAAAACAACATTTAATAAAACAGGATCAATTCTTGTACTTCCAATCTGTTCATCAAAACGATTCAAAAAGACACCATGGTCCAAATGGAAATCCTCATCAGAGTCGGTCACCGCATGTCACCACATCGGCAAAAAATCAAACCGCTCCTCCAGGTGTCTTCGCGCCTCCAGGTCTTCCACATTGCGGGTATAGATCTCCGAGGTCCCCTGAAGGGTTAGGTGCGGAACCGCCGCTCAGGGTGCGTCAATGGACGTCCCCCCTCCATCATCCTCCATCCCTCGGTGGTGCAAGACCCACCGCGCCACCCACCGTCTGCTCCAGAAAACCCACCGCGCTGGTGCGTCGGCAGACCAGGGTCTGGTGACAAAGACGAGATTTTGCGGCGAAGGCTGCGAAGACTTCAGATTGGGAGGTTTAGTTAAGTTATAAGGTTATATAAGTTATATAAGGTTATAAGTTATATAGGGTATCCATTCTGGTTGCGGAGTACCAAACAGTAGCTGGCAGCTCCGAGCCCATCCATCGCAGAAGATCTTTTGGGGATCCTGAAACCCATCAACTTGTCATTTAAACTATGTATTCAAATATGGAGAAACGGTTTCGATATATCTCGAATACTTTTTGTGGGGATTGACTTGTCTATCTATTTGGGGACCACCTCATCAGCCCAGTCATCCAGTCATCCAGTCTGTCATCCACCTCTCCAAGACACACCGAAAACACAGCTCCATTCGCACCCAGGCACAGCCTCCCGCTCGGCTGCGCGCATGGCGCCTGCGTCACGTTGTCCCAAAAGGAGGACTGCGTGACCTGTGCCTCACCTGCCTCGGTCCAGAGATCCGGGAGTGTGACGGTCGAGGGATTTTTCACCTTCATGAGAAATGTGTCGACGAGATGGTGAAACCAGCTGAAACCGGAGGAGCAGTGGATGAGCTGAACATCCACAAGTCGTGTAGAGATGTGTTCATTTGAATTCCGGCGGAGCCAAGTACACGGAAGCTGGGTGGATCAGGACGTCTGGAGCGAAGAATGAGCCGCTGTGGGGGGAGCAATGTATCTTTGAAGATGGTGCGGTGACCCCGTGAAGGCTCAATCCCTCTGAAGAAGGTCAGTCACAGTCTGGAGTCTCCCTTCTTACCATTTCTTACTTCCACTGACGGCTCCACAAGTGGAGCTTTTATTGAGGTGACTGAAACCCAAGGCCAGCACCGGCAAACCAACGTGTAAAGAATTCCCAAAGTCGTAAATCCACAGTACCAACCCAGGTCGTTTTCTTGAGATACAGTATATAGATGCAAACACTTGGTGGAAACATGCATTCGCAGGAAATCTGAGACGAGGCACCTTGACATCCATTCCGGAAAATTTGGAAACACTTCAACAAGAAGTCATCAGAAGAAAATTGTTGGGAACACCAAAGGATTCCATGCTCAAACAACCTTAACACACAGACGGAGCACACAAAAGTAGCAAGACGGAACACCAAGCTGCAATCCTTGGAGGATATGAGATGGATATGGGTAAATCATTGCCCTTTGCTGAACAAACATAAAACAAGAACTGCCAGTGAGTGTCAGACATGGGATTCTCGGAACATTTTCCCAGATCCGTCACTGGTTCCTCACCCTAGGGCTCCAACCATATCCTCAGAAGGTGGTTGGAGCCCTAGGGTCAGGAGATCATTTCTATCGCCTTTTGGGGCGAATGCCGGAGTTCATTTCATCTTCCTGCTCGTCTCGGCCTCAAGGACCAACGAAAGGGACCAACGAAAGGGACCAACGAAAGGCCTGAAGGACCAAACGAAGTCGCCAGGCCACTAAGATCTTCACAAATTGCAGAAGCTCCTGAAGGAGGTGGGTCAAAAGGCTAGGGCCGGCTAGGGTGCATGGGAAACACTCCAACCAATCTGCAACTGATTCGAACGCAAAGAGCTTGTGCATGTACTTGTGCGAATGGCTGGGTTTTCCAACGTACACCAATCGAGGTGAATGACTGATGAAAGGGCTCAACGAGTAAGCTGCTCCTTGAGGTAGATGCCTGGTCAAAGGGCAGCTTTGTCCAAAACAAGAGCGATTACGAGGCTCTAGCAAGTTACTATTCCCTAGGGCTCCTGTCCCATCTCCTCAGGTTCGGTGGTATTCGACCCCCCCTGGCATCCACCCACCCCTGTCCCATCTATCCGAAACGCAAGTTGGTGGGCCAGGAGCCCTAGGGATTGATTCAACTGTCCATCCATGATTCATCCAGGTCCATGTGTCAAATAGATATGCCAGGTCACTTCGTGGTCACTTCGTTCTTCTAGGGGCCACCTCCCCAGTGACGCTGGGCACGATGGAGGGCGTCACGCGTCACTGGGTGTCGAATGAAGCGGACCGAGGCTCTGAGAAACATGGAAATTATATTATATATGTACACTCTGACGAACACAAGTACATGGAAGTGGAACATCTTGGATGGCATGGTCCCTTGGAAGACTCCTTTCCTTTACGACTTCCCATCCACTTCCAGCATGTGACTCGTGTGACAGAAAATCAGGTCCCACAATGGTCCTCCGGCCGAGGGGTGGTGGTGCGCCTATGTGGTGCGCCTATGTGGTGGGCCTTCAAGAATGACTCAGGCGGCTCCTTCATCTTCATCTTTTTCAAGTATCCAAAAGGTCTCTCTTCTTGGTCCGGGCCTGCCATCCTCACAGAAACGTCGACACGAGGACAAAGAGGACCTGCTGAGGACAAGAACAAAGGACTTGGCTATGGCCATTGGGTCGGCCAAACACACAATGAGAAACACCACCACAAGACCATAAAACGACCATGAACAAACAAGCCTATCTGGGGATGAAGTCCTTCAGTGGATATTCAATGGTGCCCCCACATCCCTGATAGATATTGACAATCATCCCCCAAACCCTGGGCAATCTGAACAACAAACATGATGGAAATTCTTTCTGACTTTGGTCAGCAACTTGAAGCAACGGCGCCCAAGTGCAAAGCAATGACAATCTCATAAATTTTCGGCATACACGCTTCCAATGAGTTGCAAACAAAGCCAGCCACTAGGTCAGCCAAGGGGCGAAAAACGAGTCAAGAACCTCTATACTATACTGAATCCGTGGCAAAAAAAAAAGCACATATATACCAGCTGCTTCCAAGGGGTTACCAATGGACATCTCCACACTACTTATAGGTCTCTATTGGGCACCCCGACAGGAAGTGCTAGGTACAGGATTCATGGATCTTTGCTCCCACGTCCCAAATGTCTGCTCCCGTCCGTAACAGTAGCGTTGGTAGATGGCGGCCTCTGCAGGGATGATCTATTCGATCCCAAAAGAGAGATCACATGTTTGAGTACTATACAGAGACACTCCATGGGACTTGCGTATATGCCCCCCCAGACAGACCCCTTTGCAACCACCCCAATGGGGTGGTAAATCTGCCATACATGGAGCGTTTGGGATATGTTGGGTCTATCCATCTCTATCCTATATTACCTGGGCCCAGTGGATGATGGGGCCTGGTTGCAGGCCTTAGTTTCAAAAGTACGTCATCATTGTTGACCGAAAGAAAACAGGTAAGTTCGGACAAACCCAAACTGATCCAAACTATATAACTATATGTGACTCATTGTGACTTGTTTCACTCTACACCATTCTCACATCTGCCGCTTCACATTGTTTTGAACCTTTGAATTCTCTGGTGGTCCCATTCCACGGCACCTCTTCAGCAGTGGATCCCAAGCAACCTGACCGGGAAAGAGCGAACCCTGAAACACTTACACTCATGAATACGCTTAAGTATATCTCGCTCAAGTACATCATATCATATCTCTTTCTATCGGCTGAAAGATAGCCTTGATGCATAGGTCGCGCGCGTTTCGAAACTTTGGCAAAGGCGCGGCACAAATACGTCAAATAGCGGCCTCTGTTTTGGGGGACGCGATCTGACCACCAAAATGGGGATCGTGAGGCCGCGTAATGATCAATCATTATACATCAGAATGCTTTTCAAGTTTATAACCCCCCAATTTTGGTGGTCGGAAATGGACCTCCAAACCAAGAGCCACTTGATCCTTCCAAACAAACACATCTGGCTGCACTGTCAAATTGAGCGTCTTGGCTTCCCTCCAAACACGTCGCCCCTGGTGGCGTCTTCTCGCCTTGTTTTCCTTGTAACTTCTCCGCTGATCCAAGGCCCACTGGGCCGCCGCCACGGCGCCCTGCTCCGCCCTGGGCCGGAGTCACAGGGAGAGCCGGCATGAGCCAAAGATCGGTTCTTTTGGCCAACATGGGAGGCTGAAACAGGACCGTCCATTCTACTTATGCTTTTTCTTTGTGTTCTTGCCAAGGGAGACAGACTCTTCAGCTACGGCTCCGATACTAGCGGATGTGTGCAGCGACCTGGTCTTAGGCTCGATCTCAAAACTGCAGTTCATGTCGTATGTTGCGACAGAACCAAGGCAAAGGATCCACTTCCCGGATTCGGGGTGGCGTTGGGCTCTTCTCTGGCACAGAACATGCACTCACTGGGGCAATCCCAAAGCAGAAAATCCAAGAGGTTGAAGCTTTTGCGCCCCTCAGCACCTCCCAAACCTTTATGCCAAGCAGCAAAAGGTTGTCAAAAGCTTCTATGCCTGCAAAATCGCGCTGCCAATATCTCTGAGGGGTAGACAGTGCCAACAAAAACCGAGGCCCCACATGGTTGTTCCCACCAAGAAAATAGAATGCACAGGTGCTCTGCGTGAGCACGATAGATGTTCCTAGATCCACTGTGTATATGTACTGTTGCATTTGACGCTTTGAAAACGGGCACGCAGCTCTCCTCGAGTGCTATAACGGGCGAAGCACAAGAAAAACAATTTGACCACCTGGCGCTACACCCTCTTGTATTGTATGCCTCTCCCGAAAAGCAAATCTTGTAATCCCACAGAGTTCTTCTTTGGTGTTCCTTTTTTTCAAACGTGCAAAGGTCAATGCCCGACATGTGACCACAGGATATGACCAAAACATCTGGGGGAGGAAAGAGCTGGGGATGGCACTAACACTCCCGGTTGCGGAATAGATTCACCCAGGGCATATCGCCTATATACCCTAGGGCTCCAACCACTTGCTGAGAAGATGGTTGGGGTGGGTTTGGGGGTCTAACCACCTTCTGAGGATATGGTTGGAGCCCTAGGGATATGTATTTGTATCATTCTTGATTCGGCCATGATTTTCAGATCTTTTCTGCAAACTCTGAAGCCCAAGCAGTTGCTGAACAAGAGTGGGTCCTTTTCTTTTCGTTCCTTCCCTACCAATTCCACCAGCTGAGACACTGAGACACTTCCCTTCCGACTTCGATGGGGGGCGCTGGTCATCTCGCCCCTCCGTCCGTCGTTTCGCCATTCCTTCAGTAGCGACGAGGGTGGTCTCTGAAGCCTCAGGATTTCCATCGACTCACTTGGCGGCGTGGCCCGCGAAGAGATCAAGTGGCTCTCCCCAAACTTTACATATTGAGGGTGGGGGAGGTTCAATGAAGGATTTATTGGGGCGGTTCAAGGATTCAATGTTATGTTCTACTTCATACATGGAATGTCTGGGTATGGCCAACAAACATTTCTCCAATTTGGATTTGGCTTGTTGCTACTTTTGGGCATTTGTTTGGATCTGACTACAAGAATTGGATGTGGATCATCACCACTCAGGATGCCTTAGCAGGTAAACCCTAGATTCATTATAGATACCCTTCTTGTCGAGGTTCATTTTCCCCTGTCGCACCAGGACCAAGGACCCGTGCCATTTCTGGACCGAGGACCCTGCAACATCCTACATGTACAACTACACATGTTGCCATGCTCGGCTCCCCGCGCGACGCGACGTCACCCAGGGCCGCCCGACGAATCGTCTGGACCTCGAGGAGGATGAAGGCCATAGACTCGCTTGCCATCTGCGAAAAGCAGGGTCACCCTCCAATTCAATAGGGTCCAATGATGCTTAGGATTGCTTAGGGCTGTGTCAAAGATTTTGTTAGGTCATTGAAGGACTCAGAATGATGGTTGATGGATATCTATTCCTCCCACCCAAACACCACGCATGGCCGACAAAAAATGGACGCTCTGGTCCACGTCCACCAGCGGCTTACGTCGCAGCAAGGGTGATCGATGGTGACCGCCCTACCCCCATCCCTGTACAGCTATCCGCTTCCTGCACGCAGCGCACGGGCGACCCAAGTTAGGCCTTTGGTTGGGTGCTTGCCTAGCAGTGGAGGTGTTGTTGTTTTTTTGCGTGAAGACTTAAAACGACTCATGGTTGGTGCTACTGTGTTACATGGGAAAACCAGCTTGTCACAACCAGCTCGTTTGTCACACCGACCTCTGGTGGCTTTCTTGGATTTCCTGGTGGCTTTCAACGTCAGCTGCCGCATGGGGGTCCGTCATCTTCTTGTTCTATCCAGAACCCATCCATTCAACACCCGCAGGACCCGTTGCATTGCATCGGCTTCCAAACAAAAGATATTGCCAAGCAGGCACAAGACGCACAGTATCTCAAAACGCATCGACTTCCACATCTAGGAGTAGCTTCTTGGAATTTGGCACCAGATGCTTGACACAGTTGTCATTTATGATATTTTATGATCATTTATGTATAAGACATTAGCCTTTGGATCAATCGAATCTCTCTCTCTCTCTCTCCAAGGGAGCCTCCCTCACGTCACCTACGGCGTCCCACCGAATCCCGTCGGAACCCTTTAGATCGATCTCATTCGATCTCTTTGTCGTCGGCTTTGCCGTCGGCGTTTCGACCTCTAGCGACGACGGCCGACCTCGACCCGCGACGCCCGCGACGTGTGGTGCCTGGCCACTCCCTGGCACGAAGAGAGGAGGAAACGCGCATGGACTGGGGTTCTTGATGCCCAGCAGGCAGTCAAGGTTGGGGGTTCGGCATGCGCAGGTCCTTATGGGTCCATGTGGAATTTGGACATACTTTGTCTGCGCAGGTGTCTCGCCTCACATGTGTGATTCTCAAGAGTTTTGAGTCATCCATAACATCGAATCATGCCACATCTGCATATATAGTTTGCATTGTATTTCCTAGCCATCAAAGAATTGTTATGGGTTTTGGTCTACTTCTCCTCTTCCGGGATGGTTAGTTGCCTCAAACCAGGTCACCTGACTTGACCTGCAGGTGAAACCGGCCGAAGCCTTTACGGTTGACTGGTCACGGCCGAGAAGAAGTGGTACGACGTCGCGGGCCGGAAACCAAGCATCCTTTTCAAATATATATATCCCAGACACTCCATGGGACTGTCGTATATGCCACCCCAGACAGACCCCATTTCAACCACCCCAATGTAGGTACATCTGCCATACATAGTGGGTGTGCTTCTTGTTCCGTCCGTAGCGAACATTGTTCCTAGTAGCGATGCCAGGAGCCCCGTTCGTAGCGTCCGATCGCTCCGTTCGTAGCAAGGCCAGGAACCCCGTTCGTAGCTTCTTATATATATATATATATGCAAATGGTGTATTTCGTTGAATCCAACGGTCTTTTCTTCGACCCGTCTTTCCTCGAAGCGGTGCTTTGTGCGGGTTCCCCCAGGTGCTAGCTGCTGCTAGCTGCTTCGGCCTGCGGTTTCCAGCGTCTGACCACCATGTGTAAGTGATCCGCCCACATGGCGGCGCCAAGTGAGTGGAATATCTCCAGATTTGAGCGTCCTTTGGCTGAAGGCACACATCCAGTACTTCATGAAAACCCCGAGAATCAAGAAATTGCATGTCTATTTTGTTGGAAATTGTTCTGATATTGTCACTGTTTCCAGGATGGTTTTCCGCAACCAGCAGTTTTTAGCTGTTGATGTTCTTGACTTGGGATCAACAGGTGCTTCTTTGGCAATTTTTTGGTGCTCTGTCTTGCAAGTGTTGTTGGGCATGCTGGGAAAACATTTTTCTTCAACATGAGTAGACTTGCTGAACCAAAGACAAGTGCGACTTGAAAACTCTGTGGTGGGGCCCATGCTAAGCATCAATATGATGCACAGTATGAAACAAAAAGACTTGTGGTCCACCGAGGCATCTGGCAAATCACCGGTTCGTCGTGGGTAATAGATGATTATTTTGTTTCCTGCTATTTTCTATCAACTCAAAAGAGTACATGCACATATTAATATACAATGTATACTGTATATATATCAATAATCCCCCATGAAAATCAAATGGAGGGGTCAGTCCTGGTCATTCTTTAGTGATTTCCTGGGGAGTGATGGGTGTCAGCTCCCATAGGAAATCAGGAAGGCAGCCTCATGCAGCACTGTTTGGCGTAATCGAGTGAATCACTAGAAAATGACCCCAAATTCCAAACATACCCTTGGACCTGTGTTTGGCGCGTCCTCTTTTTGCTAGCGGATGCTCTGGTCCCTTGACGTGCGTTTGTCATTCTTTAGCGGATCCTGCTTTGATTCTGCTTTCTCCTACATCATCTAGAAAATGATGGGTTCTAGCAAATGTTGGGTATCCAGCCAGACCAAATCACTAGAAAATGATGGGTTCTAGGTCTTTAGGGCGTATTCCTCGTTTTCTAGTGGCTTTGGCGTCTCGACCAGGCATCCAAATCCTCAGTCACTGCCATACCCTACCATTCCGTTTCTGGCACTCTGGCCAGAAATGGAAAGGTAGGGTATCCAGCCAGACCAATTCACTAGAAAATGATGGGTTCTAGGTCTTCAGGGCGTATTCCTCATTTTCTAGTGGAATTGGAAGGGTGCGGTATGCCAAGGTACAGCCAGGCAATGCCAGGCGACGCCCGTCGCAAAAAAAAATATCGCTCCGCGCGCTTGTGTCCACCCTTTTCCCATCATTCGGACTGAAAATTAGGGGTGTGTCTTGAATATTATGAATATCTTTCTTGATTTTTTGTTTCTAGATCTTATGTTATTGTTTGTTAAGCTCTGTCTTGGCTCATCACTATTCATCATGCTTGCTAGAAAATGAGGAACCCCACTAGAAAATAGGATCACGGTGGGATCAAGAAAACAAGGTGATGTCTAGAAAATGACCCTGCCGGCATGCCTCCGAGACCTGTGATCCTCACTAGAAAATGCCATACCTGACCCCTTCCCGGTGAGTTTACCTCCTTGAGACTAAAGAATGCCCGTTTTCTACAGACGTCAACCCCCCCATTTTCTAGTCCGAATATCATGGGGGAGTATTAATGAATATATATATATATAATATAATATATATATATATATATGTGTGAATTTGAACGAGTCTGGATCAGTGGGTAGGGAATTTTCAGAAATCGAAACTCGGATGATCCCGGATGGCAATCTGGAACTTGACAGGGATTACCGGCAAAGTTTCAGCAGTTTTCAGGATACCAAGACCATCCAAAACGTCTGATGGAGGGTCAATGTGATCGGACAAAAAACAAAAACACTCTTGCCGCACGATTTCCATCACTCTGAAGCCAAGATGGCACCGAAGCAAGATACCAAGCTAAAATAAGCCTTGCAAGTTCTTGACGGATGCCATAAGGGAAAGGGATTTGCTTCCTGGCTTGAACAGCACTTGGTCACGGCGTTTTTCAACACCTTTCAGCACCTCCTCATAGCGCTCATAGCATCTCATAGCTGGGATTTGATGTTGCAAGACCTGAAATATCATCATGAACACTGGGACACCAAGCCTTTCCCGACACTCATAGCAGTGGTCCCCCCCGCTGGATGAAACACGAGGGAAGGGAGCCCGACAGCGTGTCGTGTACTGTCGCAACGACACCGAGAAAGAAACGGAAACGATCATGGATTTCCACCATGGGCAAACAACCGGAAGGGATCGGAAAGGCAATGCCATGCAAAGTCTGGTGAACATGGAGTGCACGCACGAACGAGCCACCGGGCCGCATATCAAACAAATAGTCAAATGGATCTCAAAACCAAAAGGCTGACGCAGCAATGCAACTCAACATATCCCAGGAACTCCATGAGACTGCCATATATGCCACCCCATTGACCCCTTTTCAACCACCCCAAGAAAAAACGGCAGTCCTATGGCAGTCCCATGGGTTGTGTCTGGGATACGTTGAGTATATACCTCCGAGCATTCGGAGTTCCCAAAGAATTCATAAAGAAGTGTGGTACAGTGGCCATGTCACAGGTCGTACGTTGTGACATCGCCCACGACATGCCACTTGTAGACCATCTGGTTACCAGGCTCAAACGATCTATACCCCAAACACTCCATGTCTGGAACATGTTATATACCGGCATGTACCAACAAATTAAACCACCCCAATGTAGCTAAACAAGCCATACATGGAGTGTCTGGCAGTGTCTGGGTTGTACTATCCTGAAATAACTTGTTGGGCTGCAGGTGAAAGGATCGGATGGGACATGGAGGTTTCTCGCGCCGAAAAGGCCGCGGTTTTCACACATGCTACCACTACCACTCGCTTCATGTTCGACTCCTCACATGGGAGATTCATCACTTCCATCCTTCACCATCCATGGGCACATCATTTTCGAGCCGTGCGCGCGGGCTCGCTGTCCGCGGCTTGACTGGACCGCGCCGCCTCGACTTGCGAAAGGACCGCGAAATCGGACCGGTGTGGCACAAAACTTCGAGTCAGCCACACGCAGCCTGACAAAGCTTCATGGCCCAAGCTCAAGTGTCTGACTTGCTTGATCTGTCTGGAACAGTTCGCTTCTTGGATTCTTGGACAATTCTGAAGCCTGTTGCTTTTTGTGGTCATGATGGTGGAAACATTAATTTAGACAGTTGTTAAGCAATATACACACAGCCAAAAACAACCATTGTTTCTGCACTGGCAACATCTTGTAGTTCAGCGGCTGGACTCGGTAGCCGATTGGGAGCAGGCCTATTCGGACTTCTCCGTTTCTTCTTGGCGCTTCAGCCACCCCCTTGCGCACGGAGCAGCAAAGTAAATCATGGTCAACAGCTCAAGCACCTATGGTTGTGGTCAGATATTCTTCGCAGCATCCCAGGTGGTGGTGCTTGAAAACAATATCCTTTTGGGGTCCCCCCAGCCATTCCACACGAAATCATAATCTTATTTGTGTGTGTGTGTGTGTTGCATGAAAAGCACTCTGTATACACCAAACCCAACCAACACTCTAGGCGGTGCGTGACTCAATGACTTGTAATTAGACTTGTAAGTGAACAATAATCCCTTTGGTTGTATAACCATGCAGTATAAATATGCCTTTTCAAGAGCTTCATTTCATGTCATGTCTATTCTCCTTGTCCAGGGGTTGACAACGCACTCGATGCCAAATCTGTTGGTTCGACACAGAAGCGTTACCTCTTGCAAAGTGTGGATTGTACAGAAACCGTCGCCCTACTCAGGCAAACAAGAAACCCTCCGCAGAAAGGAGTGGCCTGAAAAAGAGTGTGCTTTGCAGCACTTGGTGTGTTCAAATCAGGGTATTACTGGCGAGGGTATCAGCTGACGGGTTGGCAAGAATCATACCGCTTAAATGTCCACATGTCCCACAGAACATATCCATGGCTGCATTGCAGTGAATAATCAAGGGCGACCATGTGCTTTCCTGCTTATGGCGCAGTGGCGGCGTTCGCAGCCTGCATTTGTGCACTTGTTATTTGAGCCATCTGCTCAAAATATTGACATTCCCTCTCATACTCAAAGAAGACCTCGGCCAAACAACTGACAAACCCGACCAACTGCTGATAAAATCTGATAAATAAATATAGTAAATATTAATATAATTAAGGTGTAATGCTTGCACACAAGCTAGCTAGACATGCTGGTACTTGCAGGGTCCAACTCACGATTGAAGTGACTAAGAGATACCACATCGCTAGACTCGGGTGCTTGTGAAGATGCAGCTTCTTGCTTCGTATGAAAAAGCAACATGGACCGGCAAATGTGATGTCCCAAGACATCACTATGATATATATACCCTAGGGCTCCTGTCCCATATCCTCAGAAGGTGGTTAGACCCCCCTGGCACCCACCCCAACCATCTTCTCAGGAGGTGGTTGGAGCCCTAGGATATAGTATATTTATGTGTTATATAACGTGACATCCAGGAGAATGAGGATGAGCTTTTGCTTTGCCCCCAAAAAAAATGGAACCAAACTAGGACAGAAGTGGACAGCAACTAGTGTAGAGAGTATACTAGTTTCCCAAAGAACCCTGTCGCGCTTCCATTGTGTTTTTTTGGACGCATTGCCAACAAAGAACACTTCGAATCATATCCTTTCATCAGCTCATCATATCACACACACTTCCCTGGCTTGTTGAGAGTTGAGAGAGCGGCCCTAAAAGGTCGTATTCTCCGCTTCTCCGCTTCAAAGCTGATGACCTCCGAAGTAAACAACGAAAATGAAGGTATCCTTTTGCATGGGTGCGGTGCCGACTGGACCTCACGTCCGGTGGGACCGACTCTCGCCGACCGATGAAAAGGTCGCCCCAATTGAATGACCAGCGGCCGTGGACCTCCCTGGCTCATGACTGAGCACCTGATTCTATCTCTGTGCCACTTAGCCACGCTTTTATGGATTTGTGAGCTCAGAATCAAGAACACACCTGATTCGAGGCCTGCCAGGCACAAAAGCATCAAGTCTTGATCCACACTGCGAAGGCGGACTGGCCCTTTTGGAAAACTGAGGTGAAGGTTGCTGCGTTGGGACAAACATTTAGACCAGGAATGTGTCCTTCATGATCCTTTCAGCACCCATGAACCACCTCTT